CCCCCCCCCCCCCCTACCAAAAATCAAGATTGAGATTGAGATTCCGCCGCCATAAACAGTGGTCTAAGGAACGCTTTATTTCAACGGACGTATCTCCGCGCACAATTCGCGGGGACCCCTGTTTTTTTTTTTTTTCCGTTAGCTCTCGTTTGAGCACTTGAGCGTGCCGATCGGGTCAAGCACTGCCGAGCTAAGCACAGCCCCCACCCACACCCCTGATGTGGGCGATCTTTGCCCTTGCTGGGGTCCTGCTGCTAAGCATGGGACGGGCGAGAGTAGACCCAGAGCGGGCCCAGAAGGCCATCGATGCAGTACGCAGCGGTGAGATGTCGTTTAGGGTTGCTGCGGACACCTACGGGTTGAACCCGACCTCGCTCCACCGCCGTGTGAAGAAGGAGGTGGCCATAGATGCGAGGGTTGGTCCCGGGACTGTCCTGTGCAAGGAGGAGGAAGATTTTGTAGAAGATGTGTTGATGCACGCCTTCCGACACTTCTTGCTATTGGGTCGGGGGGAGCTGAAAGAAGCTGTGCGGAAGATCTGCCTCGACGGACGCAAGGTGCCCTGGGACCCAGACAAGGGCCCGGGGGACAGCTGGCTTGAGGGATTCATGGCGAGGCACCCGGGGTTGTCGGAGCGAGCCACCCACATCTGCGAAGCAAACCGGATCAACGAAGACGACGAGCCTCGCCTTGAAGCCTTCTACGAGACATGGGAAGCGTGCCTCGCGGAGACAAGCTCACGCCGGNCGAAGCAAACCGGATCAACGAAGACGACGAGCCTCGCCTTGAAGCCTTCTACGAGACATGGGAAGCGTGCCTCGCGGAGACAAGCTCACGCCGGACCGCATCATCAACACGGACGAGACAGGTGAGTTAGGGCAAGGGCTGAGGTGTCAGTGGTGTCTAGTGGTGTCTAGTGGTGTCTAGTGGTGTCTAGTGGTGTCAGTATCGACTGCTGTGGGTTCGTAGGCGAAGTACCAGCAGCACTGCGATGTGTCACAACAACGCGGAGTTCTGCTGCTGC